AATTCAAACTATTAATGTACCACATCGGGTCTTAATGATTGTAAAGGAGAAAAAGGATTAAACTTAATAACAACTGTGTAGTTAGGTACACAAAAACTTCTACTGGTGAATTTTCAAATTCCAATCACTTGAAAAAACTAGCTTTATTAGCCCTTTAATAGTTTAGTTTATATCATTGAGATTTTCTTATAAAATATAACAAGATTATTAGTTATTTTTCTACCAAGAGTAAATTTCGAATTGGCCTTCAATACTGATGATATTTTTTCTATGTATATAATATAATTAAATTTTTTAATACAAAGGTAATTTTTGAAGTTTTATTTAATGCTGTTTAAGATAAATTACTGTTCAATATTATGCTCTGTTTTTGTTCTACACAGTAGTGTACCCTGCTCAAAATTATACATCATCTGGAGTAATAATAAAACTGCTCATATATATGTGTTGCATAAATAATCATATGTTTACATTTATATGAATAATATTTATTCAATACAGAGCACATGTTAAACATGTGATTGAGATATTACTAAATATATAAATTTTGCACACACTGTCATGAAAATTCATGACTGAGGTATACAATTAAGTAGCTATTTTGGAATTGTATTTTAACTAGAATATGTGTTTTGGAAATGATACTTTGCCTATTGTTTTAATTGTGTACTTGACTACAAAGGTAGGTAAAGATGACAGTTTGTGAACTACCATTCTTTGATTTCTGAGTTTATGTACCTGAAAACATGCTGCTAGATAACTTAAAGTTTGATTTTATTACTTCTTGTTATTATTCTGTTAGGCTGATTGAGAATCTTCTATAACTATTTAAGCAACTGTGTAGAATTCTTGGACAGAGTACAAACAGTATTTTCGTATTATTGGTTTGTTTTTCTTCAAGTGATGTAAATTTAGTCACATACTATGTGGTGTTTGGAATTGTTGGTGCATTACTGAGGGTAGGTGTGACTCTGTATGTTAACACATTACAGAGTAGATAATTAAACATTTTATTGTATCAACACAGATTACTCACTTTTAATACCCAAAAGAGAAATTAAAGCCATATATTGTATTTTTATTATGGAAATATTGTGCTATTGAATGCAAAATATTAAAGTATTTCTAAATTTTTCCATAAGTAACAGAGTATATTTTATTAATTAAACTGTCAGTGTGACCTCTTTAACCCAAAAGTTTCCAGTGCAAGTCTGAGACAGGTCCAAAAGTCATAATAAAACTAAAATAATTTTGGAAATTAGAAGAAAGAAATCATAAGAATAATGTGATTAAGAAAAACAAAGAAGAGATTTATTAACATGCAGAAGACTTAGAATAACCACAAAAAGGATAAAGGAATTTTACTGTTACAGAGTTCTGCGTAAACTTCATGATAGATGCATGGTTGTTCAAAAACTGCATATGCTGAGACTATCCTTTGTCACAGTATTAAAAGATGTGGGAGTTGAGATATAAAGACCATGAAAAACTTGTCACATCAATTAGAAAGTGAAATAGTAAGCTTGTTCATCAAACCACCTATATCTCTTTCAGACAAAGCTGAATAATTTATCTAATGGCTGATTCACTTACTATAACCTTGTTATAGAAATACAGGAAATTCTGTCTTATAACCAATTCAACCATGTGGTTCAAGAAATAGACATGGATGTGTGATGAAAGGAAAACAGGACTGCACAGAGAAAATCTGTTAAATATGCATAGAGGTGCAATCTGTCAAGGTTTTTAACACATAATTTAGAATATCTATAAAATAACAGAATCTGATGTGGACTTATAGAAGCTAAAAATTGGGGAAATTTATCCAACCATGAAAAGTGGTTTAAATATATAAGTATAGAACATTATGCACATGGCTGAAAACATCATCATTCAAATGCTATATACTAGTCACATCAAATACAGATGAATGGAAGTCGTCATTGTGATCAAGGATATTACATTCTAATTGGGAATAAGAAGAAAGGGACTTGAAGACCCTAAAAAAATTTGAAAGTAAGTATGAAACTTTACTAGAGCATGAGAATGATAAAAGAGCAATAATAATGGTATTACTGAAGTACAGTTGAGTAATGAATCATAATTTGGTGGGTGATTTTACTTTGAGTGAATACTTGTAATCTGAGAGGAAAATTACTGTATAAGAGGATTTTCTAATGAGTTACAGAAATGATCCATGGAAAATTATGTTTAACATGTAAAGTACCTTTGTACTGTTTCACTAGACATTATCTCCACACTAGGAATCCACCCTCAAAAGTAAAGCTAGGGAATAGGCATATGCTACTAGAAATGATTATATGGTTCCATCCAAGACAAAACTGATGGTCACCCCCATCATTGATAGTTTCTTGATGTAGAAGAGGAGTACTGTGAATGATAACTTTCGAAAAGAAATATTACTCATGATGTGTGATGAAGACTGTGACATCTGAGGATGAATCCATTGTGAGTACTATATGGACATCTGTTAATTCACCATGAAGCAAATTGCTAAAACTTTGACACGCTAACATCAAATTTGAAATTAGTGCTGAGATGGCATAGAACAAAGAGATCCGTAATCTTGTCCAGAAGGATTGTTGATTAGAAAAAACTTAATAGACCTGATAAAATATTGTCATAATTGGAAATTGACTGACCGGACGAACAAGAATGGACATAGACTTACAAAGTGTAATGTAGTAGAAAGAATGTTACATAAACAGATAAAAGATGAAGAAATGTGTACTTTACGGTATTCTCAGAATAACGGAAAATTTTAAAAACGTACTAGTGAGTAAGTCTGAATTATCTGAGTTTGAAAAATGAAAGAAACTAGACAAACTATGTAACAA